CCTGCTCGGCGGCGGCGCAGAGCTCGTCGGGGCCCGCGGCGCTGCCCTACGGCTACTTCGGCAGCGGCTACTACCCCTGCGCGCGAATGGGCCCGCACCCCAACGCCATCAAGTCGTGCGCGCAGCCCGCCTCGGCCGCCGCCGCCTTCGCGGACAAGTACATGGACACCGCCGGCCCCGCGGCGGAGGAGTTCAGCTCCCGCGCCAAGGAGTTCGCCTTCTACCACCAGGGCTACGCGCCGGGGCCTTACCACCACCACCAGCCGGTGCCTGGCTACCTGGATATGCCGGTGGTGCCCGGCCTCGGGGGCCCCGGCGAGTCGCGCCACGAGCCCCTGGGGCTTCCCATGGAAAGCTACCAGCCCTGGGCGCTGCCCAACGGCTGGAACGGCCAAATGTACTGCCCCAAAGAGCAGGCGCAGCCTCCCCACCTCTGGAAGTCCGCTCTGCCGGGTAAATGGCGCCCCCCTCCTCAGCTCCGGTCCTGCGGCTCCGCTCCGGCTTCCCCTCCGCTCGCCCCGGGTCGCCCCGGTACCCCTCCGCCGTCTCGCCCTGCCCTGCCCTGCCCTGCCCTGCCGTGCCCTGCCCTAGTGGCGCTGCCCCCCTGGGAGCCCGACCTGCCGACCGGCGCTGCCCGTCCTGCCCTCGGGCCGGGCTAGCTCCCGGCTGCCCCTGGGTGAGGCGAGGCTGGAATAACTTGCTGGGACCCTGGCCGGCTTCCTTCTCACTCTGTGCCCCGCCCTCCCCGGCCCTTGACATCGACTTAAGGCTGGGAAATTGACCTGGAAACGGTTTATTAAATTGCCAGTGTTCGCTCTCTCAGACGTGGCTTCATGGCAGAAGCGCCAGGTGTGAGGGGTCGGGGGACGCGGAGAGGAGCTGGGCACCGAGCTGAGGCGCGGGCCGCTAGGCCAGGCGGCCGGGAGAGCCCGGCTGGGATGGCCATGGGCGCCCTGGCTGATTTCATTTCAGTGCAGAACCAATCGCTCTCCCCCACTGACCCTCCAGGTTTGGGCACAAAGGCTGGGTTTTGCAGAACGTGGCAAAGAGTAGCCGGGCGCTGCTGCCAGGCGGCCCGCTCGGATCAAGCCTGCGCCCTGGGCCCTGTCCTGGGGCCGGTCCGCGTGTAACTTGTCTTCTTGCCTGTCTTGCAGACGTGGTGTCTCACCCCTCAGACGCCAGCTCCTACAGGCGGGGTAGGAAGAAGCGCGTCCCTTACACCAAGGTGCAGTTGAAAGAACTCGAACGGGAATACGCCACGAATAAGTTCATTACCAAGGACAAACGGAGGCGTATCTCAGCCACCACGAATCTCTCCGAGCGGCAGGTGACAATCTGGTTCCAGAACAGGAGGGTCAAAGAGAAAAAAGTCATCAACAAACTGAAGACCACTAGTTAATGGATTAAAAGCGGAGAAAGAAGGAACTTGAAGAAATGCTTCGCGGGACTCTCTGCTTTACCCAGATCATGGTTATAGCGCTTAATGATAACTGAAGAACGGAAACGAGAAAGAGAGAGACACTGGCATTTTGCTTTCCTGAGGGGGGAGACTCTTTCTCCTTGGTGGAATCAACTATTTTAAAACGTTAAGAAATGGTAAAGACTGCCAGTTCTTCCGCCAACCCCACCAGACCATTAAATGACAAACTCTGGTGTCAAATGTCAACCCCTAAGTACGCAGTTTCAGATAAGTTACGCATTTACTGAAATCTTGTAAGTATTTATGTGACCGTTATATTTTAGGACATTATGTTATATGGTAATAATCCGAAAACTGATGACAAAAGCAAGAGGCTGTTGTAAACATCTGCCCACCCTTCCCCATCGCCATCCCCTTTGCATGTTAAGTGACTGCTCAGGTAAATCTTAGTTAAAACCCTACCGTTGTTGTATATTCTGCAGAACATGTCCTGTATTTAGATTTAGAGGGGGAAAGAGAAGAAGGTACTGAAATAATGATTTTTTTTCTGGACTATTTTCTGTGAAGGGAGATAGGGAGAGAAAGCTCTTCCAAGGATCATTTGTCTTGGGAGGAGTACAACCAGCTGAGCCTTTGAGGCTACAAGGGAACCCCAGGTTGAGGATGTCCTTCTGATAATTTTTATTTGCTTATAACAAGCATATTTTGTGGCACTTGGACTATGTTTTCTGCCCCGATATAATTTACTTTCCAAAGGATTTGATATTTTTTAAAATATTCAAAGCATCAGACGATCCACAGAATTCACTTTATATCAGCTCTCCTGAGAGGTGCCACCCTAACATGGTGGACTTCGGTTTAAATACAATTAAATTTTCACTTACATTGCTCTTTCCCAATATTTACTAAACATATTGCGGGAGAAATCACTTTTATTTTCTTGTTTTATAGAAAACTCAGAACGAAAATCCATTACCCCGAAACGTTGAGAGGTTTACATTCTATATTTTGATCTGTTAAGGGATTCCTATTTTTCCTTGTTTATTGCGTTAGGAGGCTGCATTAGAAAGTTTAGGCATTCCTCTTCACAGCACATTTTTAATCAAGCAGTTATTTCAGTCAGCACATTCATTTTGTTCATACTCACTATAAAATGCTATCTTGTAAATAAAGACATTCAGCACACTGTGAAAATGTATTTGTGCACCTGCTTTCCAAATATTTCTACTAAGAATAATAATTAAAAAACAAAAAAACAAAAAACAACCCTTAGACCTGTAGATAGTGCTATAGTGGTGTTAATTATGTTAATAAAATAGTCACTGCCATTAAAATCTGAAGGAAATAGTCATTATTTTCCCAGGCTAAACGTGCACTGCACAGAAATAAAAGGAGCAGGTTTGTCCTACACAAACCGAGGACCATGCTTTTCTATTATTATTTAGCTTTTTTTTTTTTTTTTCCTACAAATTTTTTAAGCAAGGGGAGAAATCCCTCATCGCTAAAATCCTAAAAATTTCAGAAAGTGCTTCAAAAAGGTTAAAATGTCAGGTATGCTGAAGAGGAAGAAAAAGAAACGAGGAAGAGAGAGTATAAATTCTCAGGCTCCCTGCCGAAAATGAAAACCAGTTGTTTAGTATCAGCGATGCCCAGGCCGTCGTATTTTAAAATCTGCTGTTGGGTCTGCATGCGTCTGAGAGGGCAGGTTTTGATATTTGTTGAAATGGCAGGACTAGGAAAGGCCTTAAACCTTGACCTTGACGAAAAAAGACAATTTGTGACCTTGACTTTTGACAGCTCATGAATTGGCCTCGGCTGGATTAGTAGATCAAGGGCGCCACCTCGCGTTGACAAGCTTCCTTGTAATTCTTCAACTTCAAGGGAATCAAAAGAAAGGTCTTACCTTCTTGACTCCTTAGAGATTTAGTACTCATTTCTTTGGCTCCAGATGGAGTAAATTTGAATATATGTAAGTTATACATGTGCCTGTACATATGTGAATATATATCATATATGTGTATACATATATGCATATCAGTGCTTGTGTGTGCTTGTATATATATGTTTGTAGAATCTGTACAGATACACAGTATCATTAATTACTGATGACCTGAGAAGTTGTAATTTAAGGTGATTTCTAGAGCTGAGGTACAAAATGTACTTTACGTGATGAAGTTTTGCTCCTTTCATGGCCAAGTTCAATTTCGTTTTCATAGTGACTTGCTCTGCATCAGACTTCTGCAGATCTCCTCTAAAGCTGTACATTTTTGTAACAATCTAAGAGGTGTTCTTAAGTAACCATTCTTTCCCGGCCTCGCCCTCCAAGGTGGTCTACCATCCTCATTAGAGCTATAGGGGAGTCTGTACGGCAAATAAAAAGTTTCAGATGCCTCGCTAACCCTAGAGTTCTAGAGTTACATTTCAGAAATTCAAAGAAACCCACCTCTTCAGAGGGTCAGTGTGGAGAGCTTAAAGATCTCATTATCTACAAAATGACCGTGATATAGATGCAGAAGGAGACTTATCCTGGATAGCTCAGACCTGAGTGCTGCTCCTGGGTGGTGTGCAATCTTATATTGATGTTTGCGGAGTTGCCATTTGATTTGTGGAAGAAATATATACATTTAATATTAACAACCACCATCAAAACTATAATAATATTAAGTATTATATTTACTACTTAGTGACCCCCTAACAACAAATCAGGGCTGTGTTTAGAGTCATAAATAATACATGTGTATGTTTATATATTTAATAGACACCTAGGGTAACATGTTTTTGTAGAATCCATGCTATGCACATATGTATTGCAATGTTGGTGGAACCAGGAGCCTTATGATGCAGAATTTTGAGATGAGGTTAATTTTATCTTTATGTCAGAGGAAAGTCACTGTGACCAGAAGAATCGTATTCATCATTTTAAGGGAAAATAATACTGGTTGGTTTCAAACCCGATGGAAACCTCTCCGACCTGAAGATGTAGAGCTTGTTTATAGATGGACAATTATAGAATCCCTAAGGCTGTCTCAAAAACGGCACGGTCTTGAGACAGACAAATGGAACGGCCTTGTGAGGTGCAATCAAATTTTGCTGCCCCGAGATCTTTACGTGTGGAGACAAATGAAAATGATGCTTCGTTCGGATCAACCTCCCCACGCCTTGTGCCACAGCACTCCATTTCTGAAGGAGCCGCCATCGTTCCAAAGTAACAGATTTCACCCAAAATGTTGAAAGAGGTGGGAAAATCCCCTCAAAACTGGATCAAACTGCGTGATTATGAACAGCTCCAAAGGGGACTCTTCTGTTGACGAGGATATTTTTCTTTAGATGTAAGAAATATTCTGAGCCTCAGGCCTAGGAAGGAGGCCAACTGCAGCTCTGCAGCGGGATACCGCCCCTTTCACAAGCCATCGCCACTGCAGGAACTCTGGGTAAAGTAGTGATTTTTTTTCTCTCTCTCTCTGCAGTTTTTGAAACTAATGACAGAAGATATTTCAGAGTGTTGTTTTGCTGTTGTTTTTTTTAGTTCCCCCTCTTGATTCTAAAATGGTTGTTTATAATGTTGATCTTACCTAACTCCCCTCTTATTTAAAATTCCCTTGGATCTACCAGACAGCCTGAAGTAAGCATGGATTGTGATGGCTCCCTAATGCCCCCAAATCAATTAGTCTAAACCTGTAGAATAAAAGACATCCAGGAGGACGCCAGCCACCGTAAGGAAGGGTAATGCCAAACACTGGGAGAGTGTTGTTGAATGGCTGATTTGAGTATATTTTTTTAAAAAAGGGAAACTTTCTGAATAAGACATTGTAAGCATGCAAACTAGACACCATTTTCATTTATTAAACTAGAGAAGATTTTAAATCCTGTAATGGCCTGTCATGTTGCCATTAGAGAATTGTAAATATGGAATTTAGGAGGGGGGGCCTGCTACTTTTTTCATCTGCTCTTAATACTGTCAAATTTATTAAGGTATTTTAAGTGGCTGATTGTAAAATGTCATTTTTCATTTCAATGCTATTTATGCCTGATGCAGAGCTGATGCCATGCATTTAAATTGTGTGGGGGTTTTTCTTTGTTATTTTTTTTTTTAAGAGAAAAAAAATTTAAGAAAGAAAGAGGGGGGAGAGAAAATTATTCTTTTAGAAAATTTTAACCTAGTTGAAATGTTTTCTTAAAAAGTACGGGGCAGCGCCATTCAGCTGAGGGTGCTAGTGCGTGCGCGGGTGGTGACACCGATTTCACCGCGTAACGTGTGTGCGGCTGACGCCCCGCTGAGCGCGTCTGGTGAAGATGCGGCCTCGCCGGTCCTCCCGTCGAATTCCCGAGCCTCGGAGCCGAGCGGAGGCCGCCCCGGGACTGCGCGGCCTTGAACTCGGGGGACGCAGAGCCCGCCTCCGGAGTTGCGGAGGAGCCGGTGGGCGCTCGCTGATTTATGTGCGTTCCTTTCAAGTTGATCGAACGCGTGTCAGCGGCCCAGGACCTGGAGAATCCGAGAAACATGCAGCGAGCCGCACACGTCCCATTTTTCATGAGCAGAACTGGAGCGTTACCCAGGAGGCCCGCAGAGATTTTTGTCAAGGTTTGGGGACAGGCGCACACTAGGTTTTCCTCGGCTGCGCCGCCGGGTGAGTCACAGGCGGCTTCCCCCCGCATGGAAATACCCACTTTCTGGTGGGGCTGCTTCAACCCTCGCGCGTCTGCCCAGCGCCTCGAAGGCCTAAAAGCTGTTTGCTATTTTAAATTGGATTTGAAAGGGAAGAAAAGAGACGCTGGCGCCGAAAGATGGCTCGGTTAACGCACTCAAGGCCTTGCCACCGTTGATTTCCTTTCTGCGCGGCCCCGTCGCGCCGCTGAAGAGCCGGATCCACCAGGCACCCACCCCGGCGAGGAGGGCGC